TTAAGTGCAGCACTATGAAGCTGCCTCGCAGCCACCATAGCAGGAGTTCGATCCTCCATCAGGGAGATGACCCACATGGCGTGGCAGACTTCTGTCTTGCCCACTGCTCCGCTCAGCAGTGTATTTCAGTACATCTGCCTGTTCTGCTTCCCACTCTGTTCTCTGGTGAATCCTCTCACCCCCTGCACCTCTGGCCTGTACCCCAGTTCTGTATGCATAAATAAATCAATCTTTAGGGAAAAAAGACAAGATACAAAACAGCATGTACCAGTCTGCTACCCTTCTGTTTGTAAGAAAGGGGTGAAGTATGAATAAACTAACTGATCAATTTTTATATTTTAAAAAAGACAAAAGTTTTTACACAAAAAAAGCTAATACAAATGCTTGTCTATGGGGACCAATGGGGAGGGCTGGAATACAGGAACATGGGGCTGTGGTTGCTAGTTTTCCTGAGAAACAGAATGTATGTGTGTGTACACACATGTGCAAATACACATGTACCCATGTGCAAAGAGACAGAGACAAAGAGGTACTGGCTCCTGTGATTATAAAGGTCAAGAAATCTCACCATCTGTAGTGTCAGACAGAAAGTGAATTCAACTTTCCTCTGTCTTTATGTTCCATCAGGCCCTCAACAGATTGGATGGTACCCACTCACATTTTGGAAGGCCACCTAATTTGTTCAATCCTCCAAGTCAAACACAAATCTCTTCCTGAAATACCTTCCTAGATACACCCAGAAATAATGTTTAACTAACTCTTTGACTATCCCTTAACCCAGTCAAGCTGACACATAAAATTAACCAGCACAGGATAGGAGCAAAACTTCTCAGTCTGTATCTTTTCATCTCTTCAAGTTTTGAACCAGAGGAATTTTAACCTATTTTTAAGGTATTTAAGTTTTACAATTGTAATAGGTACAGGTTTCATGGACTCCGCCCCTACTCCAGATGCTGGAACTCCAAATCCCATCAGTACCAAGAAGAAGCACGCAGGGAGGTGAGGGCGGAGCTGAGCAGCCAGGTTGGAATAAAACCGGATATGTGGGCTGTGGGGGGCTCTTGGGCTGGTGGTTCGCAGCTGATCGTTTTGGCGCTCCATCTGTTTTCAGCGTGCCGGTGGAGTCCAAGTCAGCAGAACTGGTAGGACATCCTAGGTAACCTGTGTTTCTCTCCCTCTTTCCCTGGGTTATTCCTTTACCTTTCTCCTTATAAATCAATCCATTATTTAACCTTTTGAGTGTGTCCATAATATGATTGAATCGTAAGCGCACCGGTGAAGACCCACAGACAGGCAACCCAATTCACATTGGGGTGCCCTGTAACACTAACAAATCCATTGTTTTTATTACTTTGCTTTGTTCTGGTCTCACTGATACACACACCTTTAAAAAGACATACACCCTCAAACTCAGAGCTTTTGTACTTGATGTTCTACTTAAACGTTTATGCTACCATTTCATTCAAATCACTGTCCAAGTAACTACCTCCTCAGAGCGGTCTTCCCAGGTCAGTCTATCTAAAATGGCATACCTCTGTAACCTTAATCTCTTTTCTAGATTTTTTCTTCCTAACACCTACTAGGACTTGACATTATATTTCATATCTCTTTGCTATCCACTTTCTTTCTCCTTCACTAGGATATAGATTCTTTTCTTTTTTTAAAGATTTATTTATTTATTCATACAGAACTGGGGTACAAGCCAGAGGTGCAGGGGCAGTGAGAGAATTCACCAGAGACAGAGTGAGGAACAGAACAGGCAGATCAATGAAGTACACTGCTGAGGGAGCAGCCGGCGGGTCAGGAGAGGTCTGCCACACCATGTGGACCACCTCAGGCTCAGGGGATCAACCTTGCACTGAAGAGGCTGTGGCCAGATGTCAGTGCTGTGTTCTAACCCATTGCGCTCCCAGGGAGGGCCTCACTAGGATATAAATTCTATGAAAGCAAGAACATAATTTTTTCCATTGTTATATCTACCCACTTATAAGAAGTACCTGCGATGGTAGGCTCTCAATAAATACGTGTTGGGCCTCCCTAGTGGCACAGGTTAAAGTCAGTGTTATCAAGCTATCAGCACCTACTGCAACAGGAGTTCAATCCCCAGCCAGGGATCTGACTCACATGGAGCAGCAGACCTCCCCTGTCTCACCCACTTCTCCCCTCTTCAGTGCATTTTAGTAGTTCTCTGTCTTGCTTTCCACTGTCTCTGGTGAACCCTCTCACCCCCTGTCCCCCACAGTACACACCTGTACTTCTGGCCTATACCCCAGTTCTTAAATACATAAATAAAAATAAATATTTTTAAAATAAATGTGTTAAATAAATTAATAAACAAGTAAATCAGCCATATTGTTTCCCTTATATTGTATAGTGGACACTTTCCAGTTTTTATCCTATTTTGGCCTCTGTGCCGCATTTTAAAAAGATTTATTTATTCATACATACAAGAACTGGGGTACAGGTCAGAGGTGCAGTGAAGGGTGAGAGACTTTACCAGAAAACAGAACATAAACTGGCGTATGTAAAAAACTGCAACAAATAAGAATAAAAGGTCAAGTATTTGAAAATAGTTGATGGTTGGTAAATTGTTGCTATTTGTTATTTCTGTCTTTCCTTGAAAAGCTAGTTAAATAAACAAAACATTTTGTGACTTTCTGTATCCAAATCACAATAAGGAACAATCAAAAATGTTACTGACTGCTTACAACAATAGCAAATGGTTGGGATATTAAGTAGCAAAGATGGCCTGGCTCAAATTGCAACACAGAGCTTATCATTCCATCAAGACACAGGAAAATTGTTGTGGTCCTGCAACTCTCTCCCCTGCTTGTGACCAGGAAGGTTTCTTTTCACCAACCTTTTCCCTTTGCAAAGCAGCAACTCTCCTGCCCACCTGTGACTATGCAGGTGCCTTTCCTTTTCTTTCTCCTTTTCCTAATAAACCTATCCTTTGAAGAAAGATATTTGTTTATAGATCCTGAAATAGCCTGACAAAAGTCTAGTATATAATCAATTAAAATGTTAAGGCTATATTTAGCAATAATACTGTGTTTATATTCAGCAATAGTTGACTACTATTCAGTTAAGACAAAGTATATGCATCCACAGAAAATGTAAACAAACAGACCCATGTAAGTTTAGTATGGTAAAGAGAGGAAAGTAAAGAGAGGAAAGTCAGCCTTTTCTCTCAGATACTCAAGAGGTGGCAAAATAAATTAACTACATAACTAGCATAAAGATAACAGACTCAGTTATAGTTAAAGGTCCCTTTTGGGTCTATTACTCTCTGAAACCTGATTATAATCACGGACCTAAAAAAAAAAAAAAAAACTCAAATACTTCCTCATTCACAACAGGGAATTCACAGATAACAAGGCTAGCAAAGCTAATGGTTTTAGGAAGGTATCTGGGGAGCCATTTATGCCCACAGGAGCAAATCTCTGCATTGAAAGATCTACTGTTCTGCAGAGAGTCATCGCTCTCAAATGGCTTTTATCCAGAGCAAAAAGCAAAATGGAGTTCAGCTGGTGGTTCCCCAACGTTCAGTCTTCCAGACAAGTTAATACTTTTCCATCTTTTAAGAATAAATGAGAGATATATCTAAACGAGACAATATTCAGATATATCTTAACCCCTATAACCCAGTTTGAGAAATACGTGCAAATTTGGGTTTTGAGTTGAAAATCTTTTAATAGGACCACAAAAAATATTCATTACAAAATGAGAACCTCCTTGTTTGCATTCCAGGTTCATGAGGGGAGATATTATATATTGTATCTTTACAGATCACACACACATCATAGCAAAGTAAATTTGTCCTTTGATATAATGGGTAAAGATCTTACCAAATCTGAATAAAGTGAAAACTGAATAAACTATTATTTTTACTACCTATGTTTACCTTTTTTGTTACTAATACACTGTCACAGGGAGGATATTTAAAATAATTCTATATAGTAACAGCAGTAGGTTTGTGCTAGGACCATTTTCAACCCACTCTTTTACCCAATTAATGACCTCGTGCATTTCCAAGGGTTAGCAATGTAGTTTATGTCCTTGGAGTAGATTTTTCTGGAAGAAAGGGGGGAAAAGCTAGGCTATTCAATATAATATGGGCCTCCTAACACTAAGCTATAGCCAAATGATCTATCTTGAGGTAACAGTAAGCAGTTGTATTGTTTTACAAGTAGCACAGGAATCCTTACTTCCTAATATCCTTCCATATCATGGAATTTCCTCCCTGCTCAAGTTTCAGTCCTTACTGTTCAGTTCAGCTACCAAATTTGTAATGTGTCTTGAAATCCTCCTTTGAAAACCTCCTAGGGCTGCTGCACAAATTTGATAGTTTACGTCTAAAAATGGGGCCTATTACTTTACCCTTTGCACAGCCTTCACGTTCGATGCTTGGGTTATCTAAACACTTGCTCTCAACGACTGGTATCTTCATTTTAAAGAGCTTCCATTCAAGCAACTCACTCTTTTTCTACACCTCCAGGTCTCAGGTAAGAACTGCACAGAATGCGCTTCCTTATGCAGAAACTGAGAAAGGAACAAGGCAAAACTCACTGACAAATTGTAGCAACGAAAATAAGCGGCTGAGCTATGCAGACTAGAAGTTTCTGCGTTTCATGGTGCTTCGTCTTTAAAATGGTATGGACTTCTCAAGCTTAGGGTTCCTCCATATTGAGGCAAGCCTCCATCCCGGCCCCCATGTTGGTTTGCTCCCAGCCAGCTCCCGCCCGGCCCCG